GTAAGACTTCAACAGTGCAGTGTGCGACATACAACAGTGACAAATTTCTCTTCTCTATATGCTCAAGAACAAGACTCTTTGATTGCATATCAGTTTCAGAAGACCGATTACCTGCCTTCATAAAAAAATTACAGTATTCACCAGCAACAATCAAAACTAAAGTAAAACAAACAAGAATTAGATACAAAGTTTTGGTGGCTGCAGGTAAAATATTTTCCTTCATTTTCCAGAAAGAAGGAACACAAACCTGTCTTCCTAGGCTTCACGTGTAGGAAGGACTTTCAAATGTGGCAAAGAGTTGATACTAAATCTAAAATTCAGCTCCAACATAAAGACCCTTAGAAAAACTCACCGGTACATCCAATGCTCTCTGTGACATGAGCTGCACCATGAACTAAGAACAGAAAGCACAAGTGCACACTGGGATGTACTTACGCGTCATACTCATAGGGCAGAACTGATTCAACTGAGTCCAGTCTGTTCACAAAGAGCTCAATCAGCGACTGCAATGGAGAAACGAAGTGTGAAAAACCCAAACCTGCGAAAGCAGACGCACAGCCAGCATGAAACACACAGCCGGCTGGCAGGAGCTGCCAGAAGTTATCGCAGGGCAGTTACACACTTCTGACAGAGCCCGACCGCGGCGCTGGGCCACGCCAGAGCCTCTGCAGGGCCTGCAATAAGGAAGAGAGGACTGGCGAAGGATCCTCAGCACCGACCGCAAAACGAAGTGGGAGCACGGAACGCTGCCCCACGGCCACCGCCGGCTGCGCCAGGGGAAGAAGCCGGCGCGGCGTTCCATCCCGGTGGAAGGGTTGTCTCCTGGAAGGGACCGGCCGGGCCATCAGGCAGTAAGGACAGGGACCCTCGGGGCGGCCCGCAGTCCCGCTCGGTGCCCGCGGGCAGCAGGGAGCACCGTGCCGGGCCCTCCCGTCGGGGCTCTCACCTTGCAGCCCTCGCTCTCCTTGTCGTCGTCACAGAAGCTGACGGGCGCCAAGCCGGGCAGGTAGAAAGCCGCACAAAGAGGGGCCAGCAGCAGGAGGCCGGCCGCCGGCAGCCTCATCTTCCAGCCTGGAGGAGCGAAGGCAGCATTAGCCGAGGCGACAGCTCCCGCGTCCCCGGGCAGCGCCTTTCGGAGGCGGCCCCAGGCGAGGCCGCAGCGTCACAACGGCGCCTCGGCGCGGCGCCTGCGCCATGACGCGTGAGGCGATGGGCGCCATCTTGAGTGAGGGCACCCCGAGGCGCGAGGGCTCCTCGCTGAGAATGCTGTGCTTGGGTGGGATGGGCTGATGAAATAAAGGGAAAACAATAATTGCTTGTCTCTTGTACCTTCTCAGCTGAACCTGAGTTGTTATTTCAGGCAGCTCCGTTTATAGCTGAGGGGGTTGTGATCCACTTTGTACTGTTAGAAAGGATCCACAATTAGACTCCCAAGCAGGTGATCTGGGAGGAATGCATCATGGAGCAGCAGTTTAGAAATAACTGACAAAGTCAATGCCAGAAAGAATGGCTGCTCTGATCCCCTGTAGCCTGAATTTATGAAGTAAAATTCTGAATTTCTATAAATACCCATGAAGGGACAGCTGCCCAGAACATTGCTCTTTGTCATGGAAGTATTAAACTGATCTTTTTGGTTATTAATTTTTTTTTACTATATTTCTGAAGGGAATTATGTTCCTTTTTTATCCATTCTGATTGCATTTCCTGATGTACTTCTAATTCCTTCTCTGCTCTGACATTGGGAGACATGGAGTTAGTGCTTTGTGTTTTGTTTTAGGCTTATTTGATTTGGGCTTGTTTGTGCAGATCTATTTCTGTGATTTTTTTTCTACGCTTTTTGTCCTGGTTTTCTAAAAATGAAAACAAAACCCCACACAAATGAGTCTTATGTGACCAGATTATTTATGTATTCACTAGTCCTCATCCTCCAGGCTCTCCTGATCCCCTTATCCAGTTTAAACCCCAAGTATGATGAACTTGGTAAAATGCCAATATGTTTGATGAGAATGTGCAAGCATGTACCAAAGTACTGCCCTCTGTATAAACTTGTTTGTACTGTAAGCTTAAATATGTTGTTAAACTTCATATGGTCAACATAAGTGTGACATTATAGGTGAAAGCCATTAAAAAACTTCATAAAATATCACCTTTTACAGAATGTTATTCCATCTATGTTGGTTTCCTACTCTAGGGACCAGCATTAGGTGCTTTTTACTGCTGTTTTAATTTCCAATCAGAAAATTAGAAGCTGAGATACCATTCACAAAATAAGTGGTCATAGCTCATCAGCCTTGAACTTTTGACTTGAGTATAAGAAGGATTGGTTTCCATACAGGCTGCAGTTTGTTCCCTAAAGATTTCTGTAACTTTTCTAAAAAAAATACAAAGAAGGAAAGAAAGAAGCATTAGAATTGTAATGTATTATTCAGTCTTGGAAGAAGATCTGTCTTACTGAACTTGCAACAAGAGTGTGTGTGACTGTGTAAGCTGTGTAATGGACGATAAAATACTGCTCCAGTTTGCAATGTCTATGAAACTAAGGTTTTGACTAAGGCCTGATGAAGGTATATTTTAGGACAAAGGACAGAAAAAAATGGCCTTAATATAATTAGAGCAGTTATGTTCTAATGCTGTTTCAAATGTAATTATGTTAGCGCCAATCACATCTAGCCACATGTACAGCATAGACTAGGGAATGTTAATAAAATGAAGCCTTGAGTTACTAATTGCCCTGGTTTCAGCTGGGGTGGAATTTATTTTTTCCTTCACAGTGTCTGGTATGATGCTATGTTTTGGCTTTAGGAGAAAAACAGTGTTGATAACAACGCTGATAACCGATGTTTTCAGTTGTTGCTGAGCAGTGCTGCGCAGAGCCAAGGACATTTCAGTTTCTCAGCTTCTCCTGCCAGTGAGGGGGCTGAGGGGACACAAGAAGCTGGAAGAGGACAGAACTAGGACAGCTGATCTAAGTTGGTCAAAAGGAATATTCCATACCGTACGACATCATGCAAAAAAAATATTGAAAAACAGTCAGGAGTTGGCCAGGCAGGCAGCTACTGCTTAGAGATTGACTGGGCAACAGTCAGTGGGTGGTGAACAATAATCATTACTGTAATCCTTTCTTCCCACTTCCTTTTCTATCTTAGTAAATAGTTTTTATCTCAACCCACAAGTTCTACTTTGTTTTGTTGTTTTTTTTTTAAGTTCTCTCCCTCATCAGACTGTATGTGCTTTGCTGCCTGCTGTGTTAAACTACAGTGCTAATTAAATATCTTACTATTTTAATCAGAGAAGGAAAAAGAGAGTTTAGTTTCCAATTTTTATTTCCAATTACCTGGGAGGCGGTTAGCAAACACACAGGTGTAAGGCATGGAAGCAGACAAAGAAATTTCACACGCCATCCTATGATGGGTTGGAAAGGACCTCAGAGACCACGTAGTTCCAACCCCCTGCCATGGGCAGGGTTGTCACCAACTAAATCACGCATTAGATCATGTTGGCCAGGGCCCCATCCAACCTAGCCTCCAGGACAGGAATTTAGCTGTATTGTTTTTTGGCCACTGCATTATCATCACATGCCATGCCCTCCCACTTTGTGACAGCTCATCTTCCCCGTTTCCCATGCCCAGTAATATCCCCCAGAAATGTTTAGCATCTATGCTGGAAGGGTAACAATCTTCGAGTACTCACTACGTGCTGAAGTGTTTGAGAGCTGCCTTGTATTTTCAATAGATCTGCTGGGAGTCTGGTGCAGTGTTGCATTCTACTCTTCCTAACACACAGAAGAGTTGAACGTCAGTAACTGAATAGAGGAGACTGAAAAATTAAAGAATAGTCTGATGTTCTCAGGATGTGACAATTTTACAGCATTTATTCAAGGATTTATTATGGAAGTCTTGTGGTCAGGAAGGATATTTATCATAGATAAGATGTACATCTGGAAGTTATAAACAAAACTATAACTTTGAGCAAGCACCTTAATTAGGCAAAATGGCAAACATTCAAGGATGTTGCTCTTATTATATCACAGGTAAACAGTACATCTGGAAGTTATAAACAGAACTATAACTGAGCACAAATGGCAAATAGTTAATTCAGAAACATCTGGGTTTTAATCAACAGCTGCCTGAACAAGAGGGAGAAGTGTGCCCAGGTGGCCAAGAGAGCCAGTAATGGTAGTCAGCAGGAGCAGGAGGTGATTGTTTCTGTATTGAGAACCTCCAGTGCTGTGTTCAGACATGGAGGCCCTGGAGCACGTCCAGAGGGCAGCAACAAAGCTGTGAGGGGTGTGGAGCACAAATCTTGTGGGTAACAGATGAAGGAACTGGGATTGTTCCATCTGGAGAACTGAAGGCTCAGGGGAGACCTCACAGCTCTCTAATATTTCTCGAAAGGAAGTTTTAGGAAGGTGGGGGTTGGCCTCTTCTCCCAGGTAATGGCAATAGGACCAGAGGTAATGGCCTTCAGTTGTGCCAGGGGAGGTTCATGTTGGATATTACTGACAGTTCCTTCTCACAGAGCTCAGGTAGCAGTACAGGCTGCCCAGGGAGGTAGGTGGTAGTCACAATCCCTGCAAACAGTCAAGAAAAGGATGGATGTGGATTGGGATTGGTAGTGACGGGTTGATGGTTAGACTAAATTGTCTCGATGGTCTTTTCCAACCTTAACTGTTCAAAGCTGTAAAGTGAGTTTTCAGAGCAATCCCATCCGCACCTCCCAGGCAGAGCTGCAAACAGACAAAGGGAAAAGCATCACCGACCACAGAACAACTGTTCCAGCGAGAACCGGAAAGTCCCGCTCATTCATGAAGGCCTGGCCACTCTACCCACAGCGGCGCGCTCCGAACCCCGGGCAGCTCCCGACCGCAGCGCAGCGCACCGCAGCTCGCCGCCCGCCGCCGCCGCCGCCGCCGCCGCCCGGACCCGAAGCGGCCGCGCTGAAAGCCCGGCAGGCTGCGGCCTCCCCCTGCTGGGCTCGGCGCCGCGTGCATCCGGGGCCCCGGCCGGCGGTGACGTCAGCGCTATAAAGGGCCGCAGCTCCTTTGTTCGCTCCCATTGCGCAGTTGGGGCAGGGTGGGAGCGGAGGTGAGTGCTGCGAGGCGAGCCGAGCGGGCCCGGGATCTGCGGGGAGGGGGGAACGGGGCCCTGCGAAGTGAGAGCTGAATGTGGAAAGCGGTGGTGTGATGAAAGGTTCTGCCCGCGGAGAGAAGCTGCACTCCGCCCGTCACTGAGGACGTGGGGCGAGGCGCGGTGAAGCCCGGCCTGCCGCCTTCCATCCCTGCCCGCCGGCCCACGTGCGGGGTGCAGGACGGCTTGGCGGAGCGCGGGGTCCCCGGCGCGAGAGGCGCTTGGCCGCCATTTTAGGTGCAGGGGTTTCTTGGAGCGGTCCCGTCGCGCGGGCTCCGCTTCCTCGAGGAGGACAAAGGGAGGGCTGCTGCGGGCGCGCCCTGGGGCCCGAGCAGAGGGCTCGGAGCGAGGCTTGGGGCGCGCGGTCCGCTCAGCGCTGAGACGTTCGTCTGGCGCCGGGAGGGAAAGAAGGCCCTGCTAGAGGTGGCCGCCATTTTGTGGAGGTGTGTGGAAAACGCGGAGGGTCCGGCGCCCCCTCCTTGTTCTCCTCTCTCTTCCTGGCCCGGTGCGCCGCTTACGAGGCTTGGAGCGGGGCGGCCGCCGCTTGTCCGCCCGCGCGATTGGGGCGGCCTGGCCGCCGGCGGCGCCTTGTGGAGCCGTTTGTGCCTGTGTGCCGAGCGAGCTGGGCGCCGGGCTTTCCCGCCACTGGCCTGAGGCGTGCGGTAACGGCGGTCTGCAAGGCCGGGCGGAACGCCAGATGCTCCGAGAGCACGTTTATCTCCGGCTCTTCTCGTCCCGCTCCTCTAAGCCGTGTTGGGCTGGTATCCGTTCAGGCTGTCGTGTTGTGTAGGCCTCGGCTTTGACTTAGTGTGGATGTACTTAAAATACCATAAAAGATTGGGGTTAATTTTGAATGTTGGCGCACCTGACTTTAAGCATTTCGATTTTATCTTAAAGTTAGTTGTTTTCATAGAAGAAAGAATCTGTGACAGGAGTGTGACAGATTGAATGCTAAGATGACCATCGGGGGCAAAAAAAGGCAGTAAGCTTAGCTTTTCAGTGCCCACCATTGTCTATTCTAGAACTGTTCTCATTAGAGCCCTGCTTTGTTTTCTGGAGTTTCTGCTGGAAATAACTGCTTCAACCTTGTAGTTATTCTTTTTCCCTTTGTGCTTAACATCTCTTCTTTGGCATTTTGTTCAAAGAAAACTGGCTTGAATTTGAGGAAGAGAGAATATTCCATGCTATTGTCCAGTGATCTGCTGTAGTCTAATGTTTTGTTAATGACAACTGTATGTTTTCTTAGGTCTCTTGTATCATCAAAATGGTTGAAGCAGATCGTCCTGGGAAACTGTTCATCGGTGGCCTGAACACAGAGACAAATGAGAAAGCCCTTGAGGCTGTATTTGGCAAATATGGACGCATTGTGGAAGGTAAAAAACAAAGGATACTCTTGCCATCTTGATTGAAACAACAGAAGACAGCTATGATGACTCTTATAATGTTGATCTTATGAAATGATCATCTTCTCTAAGAAGTTCTGAGCTTAAAGGGTAAATAAAGGTTAAGTTTTGTTGCTTAATTGCAGAAGAGGGTAACATGATTTTATTTCCACTGCAGTCCTCCTGATGAAAGATCGTGAAACCAACAAGTCAAGAGGGTTTGCTTTTGTAACGTTTGAGAGTCCAGCAGATGCTAAAGATGCTGCCAGAGACATGAATGGAAAGGTAGGAATTGAGATCATCTTTGCTGTTGCTGCTAAGCAAAAGTGCTGTTCTATGGAGCTAATTTAACTCATAATAAGACTTGGAAAGATAATGGACTAGAAGATTCTGGAGACAAGTCACAGGGTTAAATTTGTCAGGATGTCTTTATTTCCTGTTGTCTCCATGAAGCTGGACTCACTTTCATCCGACTCTGGATTTGACAGTAGAAAGTGAAGCCTGGCTGTCATTTGGTTATCAATTTCTTTTTTAGTTAGCGATGGAGAGCTTTCTAGTAGACAGCTTTTCACTCTTGCATGCCTCCTCTAATTGTTTTGTACTTACTGTATTTGAACGTAATACTGCATAAATCATATTTTAGGGGAGTGAGTTGCCTGAAAACTAGGAATGTTTCCCCTGATATGGGTTTGATGTGATTTGCCTTCACTGTGGTGTGTTGATGCATTGTTAATTTGTAGGTATCCTTATATATGTGGCGTTTCTTGCCAATTACAGTAAAACTGTTTTGCAGTTAACCAGCACTTGAATTTGTTCATACCCTGCAACAGAACTACACCGCTTAAAAAAAAAAAAAAAAAAAAAAAAAAAAAAAAAAAGTAGTACCAAACTAATAAATATTATGTCTTTAAAAAGGAAAACTGAATTTGGAGCAGAATTTGAGATTCACGTCAGGATAGCTTGCTGGAGGAATGTAGGTTGTTGTGATCTGATATTGCTTTGGTATATTTGAAAAGCTGAATGTTGGTTTGTGAGTTAGTGATTAACAACAGTTCAAAGAAATGCTCTCTTTAGATGGTGTAAGCTGTCATGTCAGTTGATTTGAATTTCAGACTCTTGTCTGTCATGTGCAGTCAGAAGAGTTCACTTGTAAAGGTCATGCTGAACTGGGCTTCCTGCTAGCAGCATCTCTTCTAAGGTTAAGAAAGCCTCTGTTTAGAATGGTTGAATAGCACTTGAGCTTTTGATAGTTGTTAGTGCGAAATAATGACTGATGGTTTTCTTTCAATTCAGCATAGTCCATAAGTAAAGCATAGCGAATACCTGCACTTATGGAATAAGAAAATGAGTTTGTAGTGTTCACAGATGATGCTTATAATTAAACTTAGTTATTCCTAGTTTTGTGTTAAAGCAGACTTTCTGGTGTGTGTGCTGCTTAGTTTCTGAGTTCTTGAGGACAATCTGTTGATGATTATTGTAACTTTGCATGGAGATTTGCTTCCACTTTAAGCTAGTCATTTTTCTTAGTGTGGAGAATGATAAGTCAGATGTTCTTTCTATACCAGTCCAAGCATCCCTAAAGGTGCATCTGTTAATGAATCTGTCTCCGTTGTGTAGCTTGCTACAGTTCTGAAGACCTGTTTACTGCAGTTTCAAAATCCTGATTTTCCTCTGAGTTAATAATTCAATTGAACCCCCACAGACAGTAACTTTGAGCACCAACAACAAATTGTGGAATTAAAAGGAGTTCAGTCCATAATCCTAACAACTGTTCATGGAGTGCAGCATTTAAATGAAAATAAATGGAAACTCAGAAAATAAACAGCTGTTCTAGGTCTTTAAATGTTGTATATTCATGCTGGAAACGTTCATAAAAGTAATGTTCAGTAAAGAAGCATTAAATGGCATGTAGCTAATCTGAGTTTGCCTGTATTTTGGAATGTGCCGTCTGGATCACTTGAGAACTAGGAAGTACTGACTTGTGGGTGATCACTGTCATGGCTTCTGTCTTCAGAGCTGCAAATCTAAACATACTTTCATCATCTTTGAAATTTGAACAGCAGTGTTTGGAAACAACATCCTCACTCAGGATTTGGGCAAGAATGGCCTTCAGTGTAAGCCTGCAAGCATAGCTGTGTATAGTTCCAATTCTGTACCTATCTAGCTTGGTTTAGTTGTGAATGTGGAAGAGGCAAGAATGTTATGAGGCAGTACTTCATGAGAAAGCCTTCTGGACAACAAGTGATGCCAATACTTCAAAAAGACTGCATTCTGTGTCAGAAGAGGAGTGATGCTTGAGGCATCCTGTGGGAGGAATTCATTCTAATCTGTCCAAAATGAGAGTTCTTCTGACTGTTTGGAAGTGATGGAGTGCTCATGAAACATCCAGGCATTTCAAAGGAGCCAGCAGCAGAAGCACTGTGCAGACGAGCTCAGGCAGTCTGTAATGAGAAACTTGACCTGCCTAGCCAAGGGGAAACAGGTGATGTATGGGCAGTGTGTATCTCAGTCTGTCATTCCAATGAAATTCAAAGTTGCAGCCAGCAGAAGAGGTGGAATTGGTTGAATTCTGCAAGAACATCAGAACGTATCTTCAGTTGCTGGAGTTGAGGGAAGAAATGGGGTTAAATATTTCATTCTGAAATGGAACAGGCATGAATGAGTCTCAGCTTGCTTGTTGAAAATTTTAGTCCTGAGGAAGGAGGTCAGGAGATAATGGTTTTGGGGGAAGGGGAATTTCTCAAGTTAAATTACTTTCTCTGCAAAATTGGATCAGTTATAGCCTGAATGGCACAGTAGAAATCGTAAAGCATTTTACAGCAAATTCTTTAGGAAAAAAATCTTAATTGCAAGGCAGCGAAGTCATCATCCTTGTGTCATAAAATGCACTTTCTTGTCTGAGTACAAGGGAATACTCCCAAGTCTGTAGTGAACTTCCTGTTAAGCTGTTCTGTTCTTCATATTTGAAGTCCTGAGTACAAAAATCTGTAACTAAAGAGGATGTGATGTTAGAGGAAACATCTGGGTCAAGCCAAAGATAAAATTCCGTTTGAAGCATTCCATTCTTCCAGTTGAAGACCTGTCAAGCCAGTTGGAGCATGTTAAGAGCTTGGAAGTGAATACTACTATCCACCACGGAAGATTATTGTCCTCTAATGAACAAACTTACTTCCAAATCTTCCTGTGAAGAAGTGTTATAATACAGAAAAGCTTGGATTGATAGGAAATGATCTTTGGTTCTTCCATGTATTTGATGAAGAAAAGTGCTCATGTTGTGTTGTCAAGAAACACACAAGTGACGATGGAATTGCAGCAGCATCAACAGTGAAGTGCATCAGAGAGGAAACACCAGCATGATGTTAGGCTGCTGGTTCATGCAAGTTTCTTTGGAATATTTGAATTACAGCTACTCAAACTTTACAAATACACCTCATTTAACTTCTGTTTTGCAACATGGAGCAGTTTACAGGACAATTCTCTAATTGTTTGCTTCAGGTTCCTTGGGCACATTTCAGGACTGTACAGATTGTTCATTGCACATGCAGAAGTTTTTAAAATTGTGGTTGCAAATCTACTACTATCCTTAAGTGAGCATATATAGTAGACTTTATTTTTAGCACCAACATAATACCACAAAATAGTGCCCCTTTCGTATTAAAAATACTGTTGCAACACTTGGAATCAAGATTATAAACACCAGTTGATGAGTGCCTGTTTTGACAGATGGTGTTTTGGACCCATTGAAAATTTCTTGCTCTGAGATAACTTGTCTTGAGTTCTGTCTCATCAGTTAGATGAATTTTCATTTGACTGAAAAACCTATAAAAGAAGATGGTTTTCCCATTCCAATCTTACATTTTAAAACAAGTACCTTCTGGTTAACAGCAGCAAAAACAAAGATTTTATTTTTGACATAAGACATGAATTAGGCTGCTTAAAAGCAGTTTTAAAAGCAACTATGTTTTGCCTCAGTAATGTGCATAGGTGCAAGGCAGAAGAAAATAAGGAATAGAAATCATTAGGAAAACCATGCCTCCGGAGCTTAAACAAACAAGAAGTTAAAAACACCAAGTTGGACTTGACATCCAGGTGTTCAGAACCCCTGCTGGTGGGAAGGGATGATATTTGGGTTCAAAAATCCAAACAAATTGTTAGTAGTCTGCCATAAATCAGGACTCCTGCGGTCATGGTAGCAAAACTTAAGGCTTTAAGCCTACCTTTCCCATTGTGAGAAAGGTGTCTGGAATATGAGAGATAGCAAAACTAGGTATGAACTAGGTATCAACTGTTAAGTTCCAGTGATTAGCAGTGTTCATGCGTGCTCCTGGAATGTTCTGAGCTTGTCATGCCGAATGTCATTGAGAAACTACATAAGCTACATCAAAAGCAAGACCAATGTTATGTTGCTAATCTTTTTTTTCTCAAGATGGATTGAGTCAAACCTTTGGATATACGCTCTCAGTTTTTCAGTAGTAACTACAACTGTGTATAGTGGTGGAATATGTCCACTGCTAGAGTGGATGATGTTGGAAAGGGGCAGATTTCATTGGACAAGGAAGAAGATACAGTTTTACCTCCATAAACAACCACTAGCAGTGCAGACTGAGACGCTTACCAGGAATTCTTCTATTGCAATAATGTGCAATTAACAAGACTGCCTTATTCGTTAGTTACAGATATTTAGCTTACAAAAAGTCAAGCTGCATTTACCAATAAAGATGTGCAGTAAACTAATTTCAATAGAGCTCTATCTTGACTGTTCTCCTGACCAAATGTGTATTGTCTGAAAGAGGATGTCATGGATACACTTGCTGAGTTACTCAGTATGTCTTAACACATGTTCATATTTGAGGCATAACAGCTGGCTGCAGAGTTCCTGTTACTGCAGGTCTGTGCTCCAGAAAAAGCATCCACTTAGGAAAAAAAAAAAAAGTTCACTCTGGAAAAGCAAGTAATAGAGTAAATTGTGTCAGTCACCTCTTTTTTTTTTTTTTTGAAAACTCACCTTGAAACGGTAGGAAAGGGCTGAATTGCCATACTCGGTCTGCTTTGTAGATGCTGAAATTACTTCTAAATACTTCAGTGATCACCGTTTAATCAGGACATCAAGAAAATGTACTTAAAACGGCCTCCCCATTGCCAGAAACCCCAACTGAAGCTAAGATATCTTCAGCTTAATCCTGTAACTACTGGTGCGGTCAGTTTGGTGCAAAAGTCCGTGGCAATTGGAAGTAAATTGGAGCTCATAAATCATATTTCATTTACGCAATAAATGACATGGGGCTGCCGTAGTTATTGGACACTTTTATTTTGACTGAAAGTGCTTTCTGATGCTGCTCTGTGTTTTTTCATCAATACCACGAGAATGAAGTACTCTAGAAATTAGGCCCAACATGCTGCTGAGTACGTGGGGACTAATACTGAAGACTGAATCTGTTCTAGAGTTGCTCTAACTTTATAAAATGGAAGCCCTATAATAGTGAAGCAAGAAGGGCTTAATTTAAGAAATACAAACATGACTGAGCAATAAGTAAAGCAGCTTCTTCTTTAGTCATTAGATGGGAAAGCAATTAAAGTGGAACAAGCAACCAAGCCATCCTTTGAAAGTGGTGGTAGGCGTGGGCCACCACCCCCTCCACGAAGCAGAGGTCCTCCCAGGGGCCTTAGAGGTGGAAGAGGCGGAAGTGGCGCGAGAGGACCACCTTCAAGAGGGAGTCACTTGGGTATGTATTCACCTATCTCATTATATACTTGGACAACATACAAGACAATCCCATTGGAAGATGACAATAATCCTACTGGAAAAAGTCAAACAGCTGAATAGTGCACTCCTTGTTCATTATTAAAATCATGAAATGTAATCTCGGCAGTTGAGTCAAATTTTTGATTAGGCAAGTACACCTTAAGAAAAAGGCTTTCAAATGTGAAGATTCCCTTCTACATCTAACGCTCTACTTGGCTTTTGGCTATGAAAGAAACAAAACTGCCCTGCACGTGAGAAAGGAAGCTTTCTTGTATTCAAGGTGAAAAAGTGATTCTCTTCCACCAGGGTAAGGGAAGTGCTTTCTGTTCTTACTAGCAAGAGGTCTAAACTCACTAAACTGTAGCTGTTTAAATGATTGGAGTCACAGTGACAGTTAGGAAAGCTAAACGTTGCTCATGACATTTTTGAGTTGAAGCTCTCTGAAATGGAAGGATAGTACACAACTCGATACTGGATGTGCTTTAACTTAGATATACCTACTTATTCAGCAACTTTTCAGTACTAAAACAAGTCACATAAAGCAGCATGTGTTTTATAATAGTAAAAGCTGTAGTGCAGGGGAAAAAAAACCTGAAAATAGTGAAAACTCTATTCTTGGAAGGTCTATATAGTAGGTCCTACGGTATCTCTGTTCCCTCTTTATGTAGGATCTTCTTTAAAGAGTCTTCCCAAGTGGCTTTTGTCTTCTGAGGACAGTAACTCGAGCATTTAAGCTGAGACTGATGACAGGAAAGAGTTTTCTTTCTCCTTCGCAGCACACACTGTGGCTTTTAGATCACTTCTATAAGACAGTTCTGAACAGGAATTTAAGCTGTGAAAAAAGTTTATCTGGCATGCTTTCAGTTCTGTCAGCAGCATCTAGTAATGACTGAGAAACAAGATAAAGGTGTTTTTAGGGTCCAATGTTAGAGGTTTACTGTTGATGTTACCACTACTGTGTAAGATCAGTTAGATTACTGGAGTTGAGGCTTTAGGGGCATGCGGGTAAGTATTACAGAAGTAACAAGGTGGTACGTGGCTTATCTTCTAGGGTCTTCTCGAGGGCCACTTCCCATGAAGAGAGGTCCACCTCCACGAAGTGGAGGCCCTCCACCTAAAAGATCTGCACCTTCGGGACCAGTGCGTAGCAGCAGCATGGGAGGAAGAGGTAAGAACTTGATAAACTGCTTTGTTGTCTAGTCAGTGTCTTGTAATGCCTTACTCATCAGGAACTTATGGAAAGCATTGGTTTCTTTTTGAAGTTAAATCTTCTGTGGGCTAGTTGATCATTTTTATTATCTATCAGTTCTCATCGTTCTCTGGTGTGATCTGTTGTGCTCCTTTTAATGCTGCTTTAAGACTCCATAAGCGGAAAAGTATTGTGGATGTAGGCTGCGGGTGATGCTTCTAAGTCTGTGTGAATCATTCAGTAGTAATTGCCTTGAGTCTTCTGTGTGGTTAAGTGCAACTATATTTTACAACTTCTATTTAAGCTCCTGTGTCACGTGGAAGAGACAGTTATGGTGGTCCTCCACGCAGAGAACCGATGCCGTCACGAAGAGATGTCTACATGTCTCCAAGAGATGATGGCTATAGCACTAAAGATGGGTAAATTTTCTTAATGATTTAGATTTGCTCAATGTTTTCATTCGTCAGAGGATTTTGATCCCTGATTACTCTGATGTAACCCAATTTTGTTGTAGTTACTCGAGCAGAGATTACCCCAGTTCCAGGGACACACGGGACTACGCGCCACCTCCCCGCGACTATGCGTATCGCGACTATGGTCATTCCAGTTCACGTGATGAATACCCCTCCAGGGGCTATAGGTATCTACTACTGCATTTCTGTCTGTGTCTGTTTGCTTCTGCTGTGATCGGACTGGTTTATACTGAGTCTCAGTAGCCTTTCCTCTTACAGCGATCGTGACGGATATGGTGGTGGACGTGACAGAGACTACTCAGATCATCCAAGTGGAGGTTCCTACAGAGATTCGTATGAGAGTTATGGTAAGAATCCATTTTGAGGATCATGCAGTAATTTGTACGGGTGTCGTGAAGTCTGACTTTTACTAGGTTGATGCTGTTTTAGGGGGAAGTGGCGCATTTTTTTTCCCCCTACAGTGAAAGTGCAGTTGTTGGTTATCATTTGATCCCATTGTTAAGCTGTAAGTTAAAGAAGCAAAGTCTACGGTTCAGAATTGCAGCTATCTCTGGAAAATGTGGCTGAGTTTCTTCTCTAAAATAACAAGCTGTTCTGGAATGCCCAGTAAAGAGCCTGCCTGCATAAACACCGTCTTCATTCCTTCAAAGTCTGTTAAATCCACTCACTGCCTGATACGCAATTCCCACTTAAAATACCATTAACGTGGCAGATTATATAAAGAACATCTCAATGCATACAAAAGAGTAAACGTAAACATTTAATACAGCAATTCTGTAAATTCAGATTGAAATTGTTTATATAACTTATGGTGTTGCCATATTACCTGACCATTGACCCTGCAGGTAACTCACGTAGTGCTCCACCTGCACGAGGGCCCCCGCCATCTTATGGTGGAAGCAGTCGATATGATGATTACGGCAGCACACGTGATGGATATGGAAGCCGAGAAAGTTACTCAAGCAGCAGAAGTGATGTCTACTCAAGTGGCCGTGATCGTGTTGGAAGACAAGACAGGGGTCTTCCCCCATCCATGGAAAGGGGCTATCCACCTCCTCGTGATTCATACAGTAGTTCAAGCCGCGGAGCACCCAGAGGTGGTGGCCGTGGCGGAAGCAGATCTGACAGAGGTGGAGGCAGAAGCAGATACTAAAAACACTCTTAACTTTTTTTGGACCAAGACATTACTTCTCAAACAAATTAAAAAAAAAAAAGTGGAAGTTCTATCTTTACTACCAGAGGACTACTAAAAGGAAAAGTTGTTTTTACCTTTTTTTATTGTTGCCTGTTAAGTTTTCCCCTCCATGACTTTTATGCTTTTGTGAAGAAAAGTTAAACCAGTGTTTAATTTCATTTCAAAATTGTTAACATTTCTTTCGAAAGGCAGATGTTAAATGTATAAAATTTGAGCTGTGTACTAGTGTTGTAATTTCCAAAGTAAAGTTTCCCTGAAATGCCACACTTCCCATCTGACTTTGCTCGTGAACAGAATAAGCAGTTCTTAAGATCTTCCACACGACATCCAACTATCTAAAAGGAGCTGGATTGTTCCACGCATTCAGCATCTCGCTCTTAAAGTATTGTTTGTGATGTGGAGGGTGGTGGGGATGTTCCACAGGAAAGTTCATTTTTGTCTAGAATTCCAAGTCAGTGTTCCCTGGAGTCAGTGTTCCCAGTAGAAAATGCCTTCAGATCCTTGTGTTTAAAAAAAAAAAAAAAAAAAAAAAAAGTCAATCCACCTGAAAAAACATGTGGATAATACTATTTTTTTTTTTGCCTTCCTCCTGTTTCCTGGGGAGTTTAAAAAGTTCTCCCCATCAAATGAACCATGTACATGTAAGTCAGCTACAGTATACTGTTAAAAAAATTAAAAAAAAATAAAAAGGTTTGACCAATTCATCAAAGAAGCTACAAAGCCATGCTTACTCATACTGTTTCAAATTTTTGCAACTCTGTAGTGTTTCACTTTTAAAGGAACATCTTTGATTCCAAAGGAGAAAATAAGATAAGCAAAGAAGTCTTTCTCTCCAACTTCTCAAAGGCTTATGGCTTCCTAAAAACAAGTGAAACTTTCAGCATTCCACAGCTGATTTAAAGCAGCAAATGCCTGTGAAACAGCAAAGATGGTAAGCAAAGCAAACTAGTTTTTCAGTCTAAGTCAAAATTGAACCAAGTTTCTTCCTCTAGTACGGTAAAACAAGCTGCACGTCATGGCAATGGAAGTGCTGTCTAGATTTAAAAAAAGTAAGGAAATGAAATACTTCAATACATTAGAAGTTCTCAAAATTCAACATTTCTTCTTGGATAAAAGCATTTATGGCACCAGTTTTGAAACTAAAGATAAGAATGCAGCTCGCTTTAGAGAGAATGCTGTGAAGTAGGGTTGGGAGGGGGTATTTTGTGCCCAGTTTCTTTCAGTGAAGACGCTCAAACAGACTGCGTGTGCTGTTATTTTAAGAAAATTAAAAGACTTGTGAAGTCAGGAATTGGTTTAGATTGACAGATACCATCTCAGCTATTGGGAGTTTGAAGCAAGCCATTGCAAACTTGACATTTAGTTGGATGCCTGACTGTTCAGTTTTGACGCAGCGTTACAGGGATACCTGGTACGTGTGGCAGAACCTGTGACAAGTTATGACTCAGGTAAAGCCATGAAGTTCAAATGATGCTCTTGAATATAGTATACGTGAAGACCTCCAACTAAAAGCAAAACCAAAGCTTTTTACTTCTGTTTAGTCCTCAGTATGTTTTGTCGTTCAACTTATGGATTTTACATGGCAGTGCACCATTGAAAAGGAATGAGAATCCATAAGCCATGCAACCAATCACTAAGTCATTCCAGTCCATTCCAAACCAGTGAATCCTCCACCACTTAGAAGAGAAGTAGTAAAACTTGAAACAGACTAATCTGCAAACCCAAGCTTGTGACTCTTGAAATGGGGGGAAGCACGGGGAAATGGGGAAATTGACTTGTGCTGTAAAATGTATTTTTCTCAGCTTGTTTTATTTTGATTACAGGATGATAACTTCTGGAAGATGCTTCTGAAGTAAAGCAGGTTCATCTGGTTTGGTGGCAGAGATGAATGATGCCTGTACTGGTAGATCAGGTAATTGCTGTGTTTCTGTAGTAGCTGTATGGAAGATTTTTGATGGATCTGTGTTGGGGTGGACATCCTTGGTGGCTAAGTAATCCTTTCGTTTCTGAAAGCAAATTTTGTAGGAGCAGATCTGAGCAGGGTTTTTAATTGCCAAGTTAGAAATTTCAGTGAGTGACTTCCCCCTAAAGAAAATGGTCCACTTGGGAACCACTGATCATAAAATATGGTTACAGATACACCATAAAGTGCATTTATGTATGAATGCACCATACTTAGTCTAGGAGTCTTTAAAAAATAAGATGAAAACATCTGGATTGGGATAACAGCAAGGGTCCTTGGATTAAACTGTACTTTCCATTTGTGTCAAAAGAAGCTTAAAACTTCGTAGTTTCATGCCTTGGATTGTACCATGTTAGAATTAATCTTCTGCGAGTGGCAGAACAAGTAGATACTGTTCAGATCTCGTGTGTAATAGCAACTGTTGTGTTTCTCTGCTATTAACCAGCAAAAGAGGAAAGCAGTAATTGCTGTCCTGCTAACAGAGTTCAGGAAAACTTTTTCTCTGAAGAATCATCATCCAAAAAAAAACCCCACACCACCCTTACTGTCTTCATTGCCAGTTTAAAAAAAACAAAAACAAAAACACATAGACTGAAGGGTATGTACAAATTAGGTGTGGTTTTTTTTTGTTTTTTTTTTTTTTTTTTTTGAGAAGATTTGCCAGAATTTTTTTACTGTAACTTTTAAATTCATTTTCCAGTACTTAATAAATATTAAAAAATATTTTGCTGCTATTTGAAAGTACTTTTGAGGTCCAGCTTTTAAAAAAGTGAAAAGAAAATGCTGCAGTTGATACTGTGGTTCATCTGACTAATCATGTTTGATTTTAGGTAAGATCTATCTTGTATAAAGGAGATTACTGTGTACTGTGTGATATTGTAACGTCAGGTTGCTTGCAGTTTTTTCTCTGCGCAGTACTTTTGTCAGAATATGCCATTAATTATTGTACTTATTCCTGACAAATTCCTCCTCAATCTCAGGGTGCTGGATTTTATTTCAGATCAATAAGGGGCATGATACAGTGACAGGACCCAGTAAATCAGGTTGGTGGCTGGACTGAATGATCTTGAAGGCCTTCTCCAGCCTGGATGGTTCTGTGATTGTGTGAAATACAGAAGCACCACCTGTAGTTTTTGCTTTGAGTTGGATAAAGTACATAGTTAAGTAAAAGCTGCTAACTCACCAGCCTTCTATTTTGCTGTTACTGTTAAAAAAATTTCAACAAACGAGTGTTAATTTCTCATCTTTGTGGTGCTCTTGAATGTGGCTGCATTCAAGTATTCAAATCAAATCCTTCTGGAAGTGACACTGAATTATTGGGCGCCTTTTTTCATGGAAAAATCACTGGTGTCAGTTATTGAGCACTGGGGTGGAGTCAGGAAATAAGTCTTGAAAGTAAGCTCTTCCTCCACCTGCCAAAAAATTAGTAGGGATCAGTTTTTAAAGTTTGAGACTGGTGCATCCAGACCATAAGTCTTGCTAACAAAAAGATGGCTTACTATCCTTAATATGCAGCATCCTGGGTGACTTTAAAAGGTCTTACTAAATCATCATGCAGGTGATGTCAAAATGTTGTCAATTTGTTTTTGTACTTACATGCCATGTTATTGTTAATTCTCTGCACCTCTTCTCTGGGAAGTGGGAAATTAGTTACTCCTGGCAAGTGAAAATTTCTCTCTTTTAAAATGAAGACCTTCTTTATCAGTTTACTAGATTTGTTTTGTCACTTACAGGTGCTTATTAGACTGTGTTGGAATTAATGAAGATAAAGCTGTTGATGTATTTTTTATTCTTGGGACAATTTGGAAATAACCAAAATACATTCACTGTGTATGCAACAACTCAGTGATGTCACTTTGTCTGTCTCTTGCTTTTTGAGAGCATACTAAGTTGAATTTCCTTTCTTTCAGACTACAGGAAGGCAGTGCAGCAGTGGACATGCACTGGAAAACTGAAGAACAACAAAATCCAACTGGCAAAATTGACTTTTGAGTGTGGTGTCACCCAGTATTTGCTTCAGAGAGTTACGTTACAGTTTAAGGAATTCTCTTTGAAAGTAGCCCATCTAGTCTCTTGTATCTAAGTGTTTCTTAGATGAAAATCTTTTGTCTCCTGTAGCTTACATCTTCCAAGAGCCAGGTGTTCTATTTTTATGCAGTAAACATGCATCAGTAAATTCTGCAGCAGAAAAATACACAGGGTTCCTCTTTACACGCACTGCTTTTCCTCTTTCCTGAAAGAGGAGCCAGTTATAGGAAAGTGAGTTAAAGTCCTCTAAAACGTAGAGGACTAAATAGCTCCAAACTTCCCCACCAAGAAACCAGCAGGAGTTTTACAGTATTGTTACTTGAAAATTTCCTAATTGTCTCTGGATGAGAGGAATAAAGTGTTGATGTACTGAGGCAGTATAAGTGATAAGTTACCAGAATGATCAGCGTTCTTTCTTACTTGCACTTGGTTCTTAGAAAGCTCCAGCAGGTGCCAGCAGTGTACATCCTAACAAGTGCATAATTCTATGGAAACAAGATGTTTTCTTCAAAATACTGCTTTTGATGCGTTTTTACCCTACCTGTGTGCTGCTTTGCCAGTCCACGCGAGAGTAATGCTCAGGCATGAGTATTTGTTGCAGAAAACTAACCAGATTGGCAGAGGTACTTAGTTAAGGCTTATAAATGTTATACTATTTCTACAACAGACAAAACTTAAACAGCTCTTGGTTTCTCAGTGAGTAACTAATGAAGAAAAAGCACGTGTACCCTTTCAAGGGCATTAAAACCATGTCTGTTTTTTTGCATTAAGAGTCTCACTTTAAAGTTCAGCTAAAAATTGCAGGTACTATGAGTAAACTGCCTTTAAATGGATAAAACTGCATTGTTTTCCAGCGTTAATAAATAAGTTGTTAAATAAAATGATTGTTTGTTTGAAATAAATTCTTATTTCTTGGTAGAAATGATTGCTGACCAGTATTACGTAGTGGTGGTTTATTGTTAGGTGTGGTCTCAGAGTGTATTGTGCTTATTCAAGCAGTCATACTGTAATAATGAGAGCTTGTAGTTGGAGTACGTCTAGGCTGAAACATTTAGCCTAGCATTTTAGCTGAACTGCAATGCCAGCCTATGAGCTGCTATATGAAAAAAGATAGATGTGTGCCCAAAATGACACGGAATTTACATCAGTGGTGCATTCTCATGCTTTCTGCCTCAGGCGTCATTGAAAGTCAGCAGTTTAAAGCATTAGTACATAATGCAGGAGTAAGAATCCAGTCCCCATCTGCATTGGGTGTTTACTGAAAAAAAAAATTAAAAATCAGTGCATAAAAGTGACTTGTGTACAGATGCTCTAGAATGTTTCCTGGATGTCTGAACAGCGGTCTTTCTTCCTGTAACTGACTGTATATGACATTTGTTAGCTGGATGTGTATCCCCTCCCCATTTACTTATTTTTTAAACTGAGACTGTAACGTAGTCATTACTGATGAAAATCAGGCTACAAATGAAAGCTTGTTGCTCTTTTGGGGGTAGAGATTGACTCTACAAGAGGTGGTTGATGGTTGCATTTGTTCCGTTTAAGTAATCTTTTCCAAAGGCCAGACAAGAAATTGTTCCTTGCTTGGTGGGTTGTACCTTCAGATCCTGGGTTTTCCACAGAATTAATTCTGCTGTGAGTGTGGGTGAATAAACTGGAAGATTTCTGGTTGGGTCCTGATGCTTTTCTGAAATGTGTGTAAGCTGGATTTGAAGT